GTCTTAGCAAATATATTTAAGAACAGGATTCTATTTTTTAATTAAGGCAGTATTTTTCCATAATGTTCAGCATGTATGTTATATGGAAGGAAATGGAAAGTTGATTCAATATCTGCAAAATGTAAGGGAGTTCTTTAACAGTTTAAATAGCAGTTTCTTCATCAGTGCTGAATAACAACTTTATTTCAATTAGTTATATAGCACCTGTAAGAACAATGTTTACAAGGTGCTTTGACAGTAAAAACATGCAATACAGAGACAATCAAGGAAGACTAAAGAATTAAAAGTGACATCACACCAAAGAAGTAAGCAGCTAAAAATTAAAATAAAAACAAAAGAAATTATATAAAATAAAGAAGTAGATAGAGCATAAAAACAGAATACAACACTGAAACTAATTAACGTAATCTTCACATAAAAGCAAGTCTATAAAAGTGGGTTTTAAGAAGTGATTTTAAAAAAGTTACTGACTCTGCAAGCCTTATCTCCTCATGCAGGTCATTTCAAAGTCGAGGGGCCCTGGTGGAGAAAGCTTGGTCACCCTTAGATTTAAACCTCGACTTTGGAACGACCAGAAGAGATCCACCTGAGCATCTAAGGCTGCGAGCAGGCTCATCAGGGGTCAACAGATCATTAATGTAATTTGGGGCGAGACTCTGGAAAGTTGTAAAAGTGATCAGTAAAATTTTTAAATCAATTCTAGAATGGACAGGGAGCCTATGGAGGGAAGCCAAGACAGGTGTGATGTGATGTTGTCTGTTGAAGAAGCCTAGCTGCTGCATTCTAGACAAGTTGGAGGCGAGAGAGGGACTTATCAGGAATGCCAGAAAGGAGGGAGTTACAGTAATCGAGATGGGAAAAGATGAGTGCATGTATACGCTTTTCCAGGTCCAGGTGTGAGAGCATTGGCTTTATCTTGGAGATTGTTCTGATTTGGAGGAAGCAAGACAGGAACCCTTTTTTTGATATGGGGAGCAAAATTGAGGTCTGAGTCAAACAAGATTTCTGGCAACGAGCGTTAAGTTGGTAGATAATGGACTGAGGCTGTTGGGGGTGAGAGTGCTGTGTAGGTTTGGAGGGTTAAGCAGGACTTCAGTGTCGGATTTGTTTAGTTGAAGAAGATTTTGAGCCATGCAACAATTAATGTCACTGAGACAGTTAAAAACAGCAGCCAGGCTCAGCAGGTATATCTGTGTGTCATCTGCATATAAATGAAAGCATACATTGTGATGTTGGATTATAAAACCAAGAGGGAGTAAATAAATAGAAAATAAAATTGGACCTAAAATTGGACCTTAAGGTACACCACAGGTGATGGGGGCTGAAGAGGAGGAATGATTGCCTATGGGAACCGAATAGGTTCTGTCTAAAAGATATGAATACACCAATCAAGTGCAGTTTCCCTGACACCAACCCAAGTTCTGATACGTTCGATTAAAATGGTATGTTCAACAGCACTGAAAGCTGCACTCAGATATAAAATAATTAACATTGCGCTCTCTCTTCTGTAGCAGCCAGGACGAAGTCATTTGTTACCGTGAGGAGGGGAGTTTCTGTGCTATGGAGAGCTCTTAAACCAGACTGGACCTTCTCAAAGATGTTAAGTTGGCACATCAAAGCCAAAAGCTGAGTTGAAACCACTTTTTCTAAAACTTTAGATGAAAACAGAAGCTCAGGAATTGTTCTAAAATTGTTAAGAATCTATTTTGATCTAATGCAGCTCATCCATGGTAAGACTCAAGCTTATTCACACAAATTCAACACTGAAGATCACAATATAAGTAAACATTAGATTAATGTGAGAAATTTGTCCTACAAATTAAAGTATTCTTTGCTTTTTCTCCTTTATGTATAAAACAGACATGTCTAGAATGAAGCCTACGATTCATGTGCTGTCTGCTTCCATTCACCTCCATTATTTACCTCTCTCACTATATACATATGCTCACATGCATATACCTACCAAATGCTTTGGTGGTGCAGTGGTTTTGGTACATGGCCAACTCACAGCTAGTGTGGTCTGAGTTCCACCCTGGGATGAGAGTGTGCTTGGTTGTCTGTCTCTGTGTGTTGACCCTGTTAAGGACTGATGACCTGTCCAGAGTGAACCCTGTTTCTCACCCAATATCAGCTGGGATAGGATCCATATCCCCGTCACCCCCTACAAGTCAAAGCATGTGTAGCCAATGGATGGATGGAAGCTGGGATGCAGGAGGTGTTGAGTGTTCTTTTTCCAACCCTGACCATGCAGACAGCATTTTGTGTTTGGTTTTTCGAACTGTATGACTTTTCAATCATATTTCTCAGTAAATGTTCATTTAATAGAAGTTTGAGACAGAATATTCTCTCAAAACAAAATTAAATATTGAAAAACAATTATTGGAGTGTATGCACATCTACAAGTTTCAGAACAAACAAAACAAACTTTTAGAATTTTTTACTCATGACTTTGCTGTACCTTACATAACTTTACTTTACATACTGTACATTTACATACATTTACTTTCCATAACTCTGTCTTACAGGTCATTTTAGACTAGCTTAACAGGGGGGAGAGGGGAAACTATGGTTTAGAAGAAAAGTAGCATGAACAATGGCTGACTTGCTTAATACTTTAGAGACCCTTTTCTGTAAAGCCTGTCCATAAGGTGCTCTTATATGCTGGAAGACGCATTGTGAGCAAAATAAGCAATCACCACTATAGCTGAGAATTTCCACCTTGAAACAGCAGTGTACCATTGGCAGTCTTAAAAATGTGGTCTTCCAAGGTTTCATACGCAACAAACCTAAAAAAAACCAACCCTGTCATCTTGCAGGGGGGAATTTCCATCAGTCCATCCATTATCTAAACACTGCTTTATCCTCACTAGGGTCGTGCGGGGGAGCCTATCCCAGCTGACTCAGGGTGAAGGCAGGGGACAGCCTGGACAGGTTACCAGTCTTTCACAGGGCTACACTTAGAGACACACAACCAAGCACACTCCAGAGATGTTCACAAGTCTTTTTTTTTGCAAGTTCAAGTCAAGTCTTAAGTCTCTATAAAATAAATCTCTCAAGTCTCTTCCTGTTTTAATGCGCTTTCTATCATCTGCTGCTATTTGGTCTACTAAGAATACTGCAAAGCTATATCTAAGAAATTCAAAGCATCCACTGTATTATTAACCCCCCTTTATCTATTAGCATGAAGTATCAGCACTGATCAGCTGTTTGTTAGATGATCACTTTAAACAGGGTACTGCAATGCAAGATGAAGAAAACACACCATGAATGACTTCCTGTAAAGGAAACTGTGTTCTTCCAGCATGAACATACAGTTAGGATATATCCTGCCCCCTATTGTGCAGGCTCAGTCGGACCACAGTAAGAACAAACGTATCAAAAATGTTACACCTCACCCAGTCAAAGGCATTGCAGGCTAGTTAACATCCTTCTAATTAGTGCAAAGCATCACACTTTAGCTAAATGCAAACAACTTGTGAACAAAACACTCAAAAGTACTTTAAACACTTGTATATGTTACTTCTGTGCCATTTGCAATTTAAAAAAAATGTCCACAAAAACAAAAGCAAAACTATTGCTGCCACATTATCTGAAAAATACTGTAAGTCTATAAACTGGTGATATCAAAACACGACCAGTTTTGTTCCTAAACGCACCTTTCTTTGCAGGACAAAAATGATTCCTTGCATAAAAGCAAAACTCAAAAAGGAAAATCACTGGACTTATTGGTTGTCTGGACTGGTTTACTAATGAAACAGTAACTTTACAGCGTCAGAGAGTGTCTGCAACCCGACTGGTTGAATCTACAAGGGTGGGACTTGTGTGTACCGGGTTGACTGTCGGAGACACTCCATTGGCTCTTCAGGGTGTCAGTCACCCTTCAAAGCCACCGTATTGGCCAGACTAGGTGTCAATCAACAGCTAAGGCTTCCGTCTAGCCGCCTGTGGCAGTTTCAGCGCGACCTAAAATAGATTCAGCCTGATTTTGCCAGATGAAATGAAGAAAACAGCCGGAGCTGATCTCAAGCTGGGAAGACATTACTGCAGAATTTGTGCCTTTGAGGATCTAATCCGTGTTACGGACCGAATTATTTTACTGGATTATGATCACTGGTTCTGTCCGGACAGAATGAGACCAAGCTGGTGAGGAATGACCGATGTTTGAGCGGCAGAGAGCCTTCAAAAGTAAGAAAAGTCGGATTTTATCATGTTGCTTTTCTGTACAAAAAGCTCTTTGTGTCAACGCTGTGGTTGCTGCAGGTCAAAAGTTTTATATCATCGGAAAGAGGAGACTCTGAGCTTTCATTTGATGTGTATATTGTCGGGAAACGTGATTGTGGAGCGTGCACATATGACTGTAATGTGTTTGGAAAGTGGTCACGTCCCGCCGGCGGGTCGGAGGAACGGTAAGGGGTTTAAAGCTCGTCAGACATTTGAGAGTTTTCCCAATGTTGATATGCCAAAAAAAAAAAGAAAGAACGGAAAGGAAAAAAGAGAACTTAATTATTGTTCACGAGTCCCAAAACATGAGTCCGAGTCGAGTCTGAAGTCTTTTGAGCACGAGTCCAAGTCAAGTCTGAAGTCTTTGTGTGCGAGTCCGAGTCGCTAACTCGAGTCCCCATCTCTGGCACAATCACATTCACACCTCGGGACAATTTAGAAGGGAGGAACTTTTTGTATCATTATTCTTGTTTAGAATTGGTTTGTGGTTCAAACATCCATGACTGAATTACTTCAACACTACAACCTGCCATTGTGTTTACAGTAGAGAGAGAAGCATTGACTTCACAGATCCCACATTCTAGAGGTGTAAAGTTACATCTAAGCCATGTTTTACAAAGGAAGACATTATTTTCCATTTCAACTTCTAAATATGCTTCTTTGATTTACACAAATGAGTTTTTAGGGATCTAATGAATGACTGGAGAGGAGCCTAGATGCAGAAATAAATACGAAGCAGGACTTACAGTTGTCCTTTAGGTTGACCAGCTTGACCCTTCCTACAGTCCCTCCACCAGCCTTTTCAGCGAACAAATCACACCAGACACACTGCACATGACCCCCAGAGTCAGTATAGCCACATCTATCAGCCGGTCCTTCACAGTGAGCTGCCCCCACTGCAGTCGAAGGTGAAACAGACACGGCAGTATGAGTGTCATCGCTGCCCCGGTCACGCTGCCTGTCAGACCCATCAGCAGGGAGAACCTGGGCACCAGTAGGGCCAGGAGGTATGACGCCATCAACAGGGTGCCACGGACCACCAGGGCTGGACGAGACACACCTCCACCTCCATGTTTGGAGTACGATGAGACAGCAGCATCTGGAAGGAGGAAGAATGAAGAGAAGTTGACGAGCTGTGTGGTGCTTGTGGTAGAGACCATGTTTATGGGTCGCTGTGTTCTCATTCGCTGCTTCCCAGTCGCATATGTGCAGCGGTTTTATCGGCTTCCAAGTTCACAATCATGAGATCGTATTTTCTGACCTAAATTTATTGAGGTGATACTATAGAGGACAGAAAAGTTTAAATGACCAAAGTTGGCTGAAACTGTCAGTTGATGTTACATCATGAATCATAATCTGATGACTTCATGACTGTAACAGGAAAGTTCAGCTGTGGTGAGCAACGTGTTGTTGTGTCCTCCCAGGGGTTATTTTTGACCGAAGGTACAAGGTTTTATGTTTTACCTATCCTAATGCTGGATCTCTCATAATTAATCTTGTTATTTATTGATCAACAGTATGTGTTTAATTTTTGTTTTTAGTGAAATATACATAAATATAGTATTGATCATCTTTTTGTGTAAGGACGTCTAGTTAAATTGTGTTTAAGCTTCAAACTACATAGATTTGGGGGAACGTTTCCTCTTTTCCTCTCTAATTTTTTTGAGTTGATTACTCATAAAAAATATTTTTTATTCCAACTAGTATTTCCTTGTTATTTAAT